AGTCTAATGGTGTTGTTCATCCATGGTTTATCATTTGGGCGTACTGTTATCACTTTTCAGGGAATACATTTGTTCACCTGTTCCGTTAAACAATTAATTATAGAAGCATTAAATATCACAGTGTCCTGATTCAATGATAAATTTAACCAATCAACATTAAAAAGAGCATTATTCATAATTTCAAAATCAGCTTCATCATATTTCAGAATGGTCTTTTTATAGCTCACTTGTTTAAATATGTTAAAAGAAAGTTGGGCATGAACTGATGAGTGGTCACTACAGAATGGTGGCGATACATAGGTACTTTTAATTATGTTTCTGTTATTAGACAATATAATATCAATGGATGTGGCACTGTCAGGTGTTATTCGTGTAGGTTCATATATATATATATACCCTCCTTACCTTGGGATCAGGGACACCACGGACTCTACCTCAGCTGTGTTCCTCGACCTTACAACAGTACCAATATGGAGCTGACTACTAAGCTGTACGATAAGCGGAACGATTTAGACTTTACGAACGTCAACGTTTCCTTTCTTGAGAGTAACATCACTGCTTCCTCTATCCACGGTGTTTTCATGTCGCATTTGATGTGGTGTTCAAAAGCTTGCTCCGAATATCATGACTTTCGTAATAGATGTCGACATCTAAGCTCAATGGGAAATATGCTATTTCTTTGGTTGATGCTTGTTTTTGATTTGTTATCTCTATCCAAGTTCTCGATGTGAGGACGTGACATTATTTGGCTTTGACCTAGATTTACATGGCGGGTGTCGTCGATGTGAGGACGTGACATTATTTGACTTTCACCTAGACTTACATGGCGGGTGTCGTCGATGTGAGGACGTGACATTATTTGGCTTGACCTAGATTTACATGGCGGGTGTCGTCGATGAAGCAGAACGCTTACCCTTTCGGAACACCTGGTCTTATCTCCTTGTTCGTTTCAAATGTTGTGGTGGAAATATTTCCTTTGTTCATACTTGCCCTATTTTCATCGATTTTCAGCTCGCAGTTGATTCGATATTCTATGGCTTATGCTGAATGATTTCCGTGATAAATTCACTATTTACTGTGACCACTAACTGTATGTCGAGACATGACTCGTGTGTCTCCTGATTTCGTTGTCACCACCATCTTTGTGATTATGAATTGAGACTGTTTGAATTTACATAGATTTTCCAGTCTCGTAAGTTTAATTTCAGACTTCATTATGCATGTATATGAATGGGGTGTTGTTAGTTTTTGATCTGTCCTAACAGGTCAAGCTGTATATGTGGTATTTCAAATGACATTTGAAGTAGCTCATACAGTATGCGCTATACAAATATATTGATGTATTTGCAACCGGCATATACTATTGTGTAATCAACTGTTGTACTGTAAAAGAATATGAATAATTCAATTGATGTTTGTACATTGTGTCATTTTATATTTGCTAAGTTCGAAACTAGCGGCTCTTTATTATCCATCACGTACAACCTTTATTTATTTACTTTAGAAATTTACAAAACTTGACAAATTTTGTTAATTGATTTCGGTATCATTCTTTAATTTCTCACTATATTAGTGTATTTTCTGTCAATTTTTATTCTGTGCTATATTAGCATTGCATGTATTTTGGTTTGGTTTGGTTTGGTTTAATTTTGTTTAACGTCCTATTAACAGCTAATGTCATTTAAGGACGTGCCTCCATGTGTATAGTGTATGCGTACGTCTGTGTTTGTATGCAGGAGACATGGTATGTTGGTGTGCTTGCCTCCTTGTGATAGCGCGGATCTGATGCCGACTTTATACTGCTATCTCACTGAAATGCCATGCCGAAGGCACCAAACACAGCATTCCGCCCGGTCACATTATACTGACAACGGGGGAACCAGTTGTTGCCATTCCCCTTAATGCTGAACGTTAAGCAGGGAATAACAACTTCCATTCTTAAGGACTTTGGTATATCACGGCCTGGGGACAGAACCCATTGCCTTCCTCACCTGGGCGAACGCTCAACATTCCAGCCAAAAGTGAGGTGTTGCCAATCAAGGAGCTAGGAAATAAAAGGTAGTTAGAAGTAGAAAGAAAGATAAAGATCCCAAATATTGCAATGGGCCTAGCAGATGTATTTTGATTGCTTTTGTGTCCACAAATAGAGGACACCAAAGTAAATTCCCAATTCTACAGGGGTTTCCCACATAAGTCGCCTCCTACGATACATGCAGTGGGTAACAGCAGGTGTATTCTTTTCCCGATCCCCCACCTGTAGGGATGAAGTCATCAGTATTTTTTGTGTGATATACAAATATTCATTCACTATTAACTATATATGACTCTGAATATTACATATCTGTGATCAGATGTATTGCTTTTCAAATATGAACACTATTTTTATATGTTTACTGCTTCAAAAGGGTCATATCCCGGGGGCCTTTGTAGGTAGGGGACTTCCAATCACTTAGAAACCTGGAATATGATATTTTCTTTTTTTGTGGTAATTATTACTGCTTTTTATTAATATGCTATTATCTCCCATTACTTGTAATATAATGTGTTATTGTTATTTTACATATGTTTTTCGCAATAATAGCTCTCAAGAGCTTATGTTCCAAATTGAGTTTCCTGTATCTTGTATCTTGTAGATTATCTACCTACGGTTATTGCCATTTACTTTGAATGACCTGCCTTTTCTGTACATACATATTAAGGTCAATTTCTCTGAACTCACATGACCTTGTGTTATTTAATGTGCATGCATATAGTGGTGGCTGGGGTATATCTTTTCCTCCTTTGCTTATGGTGGTGACTTGGTATATTTTGCATTGTTTATGGTGGTGGTTGGGCATATTTTCCCTTTGTTTGTTGTGGTGTTTGGGTATACTTTTCCTTTGTTTGTAGTGATGTTCGGGTATATTTTTCCTTTGTTTATGGTGGTCGGGTATATTTTCTCTTTGTTTGTGGTGGTGGTTGGGTATATTTTCTCTTTGTTTATGGTGGTCGGGTATATTTCCCCTTTGTTTGTGGTGCTCGGGTATATTTCCCCTTTGTTTGTGGTGGTGTTTGGGTATATTTTCCCTTTGTTTGTGGTGGTTGGGTATATTTCCCCTTTGTTTGTGGTGGTCGGGTATATTTTCCCTTTGTTTGTGGTGGTTGGGTATATTTTCCCTTTGTTTGTGGTGGTTGGGTATATTTTCCCTTTGTTTGTGGTGGTCGGGTATATTTTCCCTAAGTTTGTGGTGGTTGGGTATATTTTCCCTTTGTTTGTGGTGGTTGGGTATATTTTCCCTTTGTTTATGGTGGTTGGGTATATTTTCCCTTTGTTTGTGGTGCTCGGGTATATTTTCCCTTTGTTTGTGGTGGCTCGGTATATTTCCCCCTTGTTTATGGTCGTTGGGTATATTTTCCCTTTGTTTATGGTCGATGGGTATATTTTCCCTTTATTTATGGTGGCTGGGTATATTTTTCCTTTGTTTATGGTGGTTGGGTATATTTTCCTTTGTTTGTGGTGGTTTGTATATTTTTCCTTTGTTTATGGTCGTTGGGTATATTTTCCCTTTGTTTATGGTCGATGGGTATATTTTCCCTTTATTTATGGTGGCTGGGTATATTTTTCCTTTGTTTATGGTGGTTGGGTATATTTTCCTTTGTTTGTGGTGGTTTGGTATATTTTTCCTTTGTTTATGGTCGTTGGGTATATTTTCCCTTTGTTTATGGTGGCTGGGTATATTTTTCCTTTGTTTATGGTGGTTGGGTATATTTTCCCTTTGTTTGTGGTGGTTGGGTTTATTCCCCCTTTGTTTGTGGTGGTCGTTGGGTATAGTTTTCCTTTGTTTGTGGTGGCTGTGATATTTTCCCTTTGTTTGTGGTGGTAGTTGGGTATATTTTCCCTTTGTTTATGGTGGCTGGGTATATTTCCCCTTTGTTTATGGTCGTTGGGTATATTTTCCCTTTGTTTGTGGTGGTTGGGTATATTTTTCCTTTGTTTATGGTGGCTGGGTATATTCCCCCTTTGGTTGTGGTGGGCGTTGGGTATAGTTTTCCTTTGTTTGTGGTGGCTGTCATATTTTCCCTTTGTTTATGGTGGCTGGGTATATTTTTCCTTTGTTTGTGGTGGTTTGGTATATTTTCCCTTTGTTTGTGGTGGTTGGGTATATTTTCCCTT